GTATGCATATGTATGTACCCCTCGGTCTCATTTCTTGCCGGGTATAGAACAAAGCATGCACGCAAGTCTTCGTATGGCTACTCTGACAAGGAAGACCTTAGACCGAATGCGCTTCAGGAATACATGTACTAGACCACTGACTGGTTCTTTGGATCGAAGAGCAGGGTGGGGAGGACCTGTTAAATCTAGAGGGCGCTATTCATTAAAATATTTCGTAATGTTGCTTGTACATACATACCTAACCACATGCACTTTCGCCCCAGAGGGGAAGTTCGTGCCATTTACATTTAAGTGGTGTCTCTCATTCGTTTCTTTCATTTATCATTTCTTTTTCACCTTTAAAAAGTTTATGGATGCGGAAAATCTCCGAGATGATCTTATGGTGCTACCCGATCAAAAAATTTGGCGTAAACCCCTCCACCAACCCTGGTGATCGGCCTCCTTTGCATGGTGCTTTTCTGCCCATCGCTCCGCCTAAAGGCAAGTTTGGTTGCAGAATGCTATTATTTCGCTGTTCGTTATCCTTTCACCCTTTTTATATGTAGAAACGCCGGTTCTTGGATCGAAGTGAACCTCGGCGAAAGCACAGTGGTGTCTGGCGTCATCACGCAAGGTAACCCGTCGTGGCGCAAGAGGCCGATTTATGTCACGAAGTACAAGGTGTCTTATCAGAATTTATCTTCATCTGGCCGTGTATACGTGACAGGAGGAGACGGCAACATCACGGTATAGACATGATGTTTGCACAAACTTGTCGGAGATTAATTAATGTCTTTGTGATCTTTGTGTCCTATTACTTCGTTATAGCTGCTTGACGTTTCCCTCGGACAGCATTGGAAATGTACGTAAGTTTATGGGCAAAACCCAAGAAATGTTTTCCGGCATTCTTTTGCTTCGTTTGCCAGACTTGTCCATTTCATGTCCCTACCAATAATGTCAAATCAAAGTATACGATGCAAAACTTTGGTGTTAAAAACAACTCTTTTTAGTGTTATCAGATGACCGTACCAAAATGTGTTACTTTAACACTGCTGGTGTTACTTTACACACCTACAAGTGTTACAGTGCACTGGAGGATGTCAAAAAGTGACACCAACAGCTTTGAAATAACATCGAAAATTTTAACACCAATGAATTAGTGTTAGAATGGTCCCCTAATAACACTGATTTTTTTACAGTGTCATAACAGCGATTGTCTATTGTATTGCGTTTTTATTCTAAATGTCATCTTGCCAAGAGACGTTGCGCATTGTTTCCATAGATAATCTGTATCTAAAATGCAATACGGGCGATTCACAATAGTGCGCTTCCAAGAGTTTGCAACGCGTTGGCCAATCACAACGCGTGAAATTTGTCGACCCCTTAAAAACGCGCATTGGGTCGCCAACGTGTTGCAAACTCTTGGAGGCGCACTATTGTGAAACGCCCGTATTATTAGATTAAAAGATCTCCATTTAAATTTAAATGTGTTTAGGCAACCAAACGTGAAATCTAAAACTCAATGATATTCACTTTTTCGTTTTCTTGAATCTTTTTTTCCCAACTCGATTCACATGTTTAACTCTCCAACCACACGGTAAACGACATTACGATGTATGCAAGGGGGTGTCTGGTTTATTTGGTTTAGAGTTCTGATTTAATCCGATTCAGTAAATTAAGGGAATTATTTATGTAAATTGATTACATATAGTTATAATATCCTGTTTAACTATTTATGGTTTTGTCTTGTTTTGTTGATTTTAGTGGGTGAATTGTTGAATGCAACAAAATAATTATCCGTAATTATTTTAGGTGGACACAACAAATTTGAAT